TATATATTTGAGGCAGGGTCTCACTACGTAGTTGAGACTGAACTGGAGCTCACTATGTAGCCTAGGCTCGTCTAGAACTCACAGCGATCCTCCTGTCTCAACCTCCCAAGTGCTGGGATTAAGGGCCACCACGCCCAGCCTGCACAGGTATTAATACTACTTACATGTGTATGTGATTAAGAATCACTGTTTCTCCGAACTTTATTCGGATACTACCATTGTGTAAATACATACTCAACATACTCCACCTCACCCAGTACTGTTAAGCAACTAAGACAATTATTCGCACAAATGTCAGATACCAAAAGGAGTTAACAGTTAAACAAAATTATACAAAGCAGTTCACCAGAGACTTCAATGCTTGTCTAACAACACATGAGACAACTTTGGTCATCCACACTTCCAGATGAAACAGAAAAATCTGAAATGATTTCACCCAAAAAGTTTAAGAATTCACTCCCATAGTTAAAAAAAGAAAAAGAAAAAAAAGGCCACCACCATTTTACTCTTCAGAGCTTATTTTTTTGTGGAAGGGGTTATAAAAAGATATCTAACAAATTCTTTCGCCTTTGTCACTGTGGCTGTCCATACAGGTTCCCCATACTTCAAAAAGGAGCTCTAGGCCTGGGAAATCACAAAAACCATTCCTATTACTGTAATAGAACTCGACTTTCGTTGCTTCTTCATTAAATGATCATTATACTTGCAAACGTTCTTGTATCTACTACTCTAGATACAAGTGCTGTCAATGAAAAAAAAAAAAGAAGCAAAGCATTTTTCTGAAACCCAGAAGAAACTGTCAAACAATGCTGCTAACCTGTCCCCTCTCCATTCCCTACTGAGGCACACGAAAGAGGCTCTATGAACTCCTGCACTGCCATTTGGCAGTTGCGGACTGATGGGAAGCACCCCCGCCCCACCGGCTCAACCCATCACGGAAAAGCTGCATCACTCGATTTCATCACTACGGCCCGGGGCCACGACTTACCATTTCCAGGTGGGCACCGGAGCCTTCCGGATGTCCGCTGCCCAGGGCTGGACTGGCCCTGCCCTCTGGGGTCTTCCGCTCACTGTTACGCTTCAGACCGCCGGCGTCGCCCCGGCCTCCAGCCTCTCGTCGCCGTCGCTGCCGGCTCCACAGGTACACGGCTCCAGCGCCCAGTTTTGCCATCGGGGTAGGCCCCCAGGGCTCGGGCCCAAAGTCCCGCCGCCTCCGCTCACTCCACTCCCGGAGCCCGGCGAAGCCGCTGCGACCACAGCCGCCTCCACTGGCTTAGAGGCGGCCATGACGAGTGTCTTGTGCTACCGCCTCTACCAGTCGCAGGCGCCACAGTCGGCAGGCAACGTGCGAAGATACACCAGGGGTAAGAAACGAAAGCTACAGGGAGAGAGCACGTTAGGCAGGGAGCGGACTGCAGAAAAGGACCAGAGGTCACCGGAAGCCCAGAGCATGCCGGGACAGATCTAGACGTCAGGCTCCTCCCCTCAACTGGGGGGGGGCGAGTCGCTTCCGGGTTAAGCGACCTCGCTTTCAGTGGGCTCGGTGGTTATCTCTTTCCCTTTACTTTTCCCTTGCGGCTGTTTGGGATAATCACTTGTGGGATCTTGAGCCTCCGGTGGTAGCTGTTACCGTCTTTTTCCTTCTAGGATATAAGGACTATGGCTCTCTTGTCTAGCGGGGCGGGACGGAGGATGGGCGTGTAGGCGGTGTATTTGGGGTGCGCAGTCCATCAGAATGGAGAGAAAATGAGCGTTGAGAATCCAGGGAGTGGCAGAAGAATTGTTTAGGTTATTGGCTGGCCTGGTTGGTAGGATGGGCGTAGGTAGATTGAGGCCTCATTTTTCACTTAGCGCTACGTTTTCAGCGTGGGCCTCGGTGCCCTTTAACTTTCAACGTTTTGCGAGTGAGGAAAGAACTCAATCTAGCTTTCTGTATTAATTATCTTACAGTCTGACCCATAGCCAGATTTTACTTTGGACGAATTTGAGGTCAGAAGGGCAATGGGAGAGGCCGAAAGACTCCGTGGAAACGGGTGAAACTGGATTGATTTCAGTGGAAAGATCTGAACCTGGATGCATGCAGCTCTCCGTCTGCACTAATTTTGAAAGTGCCTGTGTTGTTAGGAATTTAGTGGTTAGAAATATGAAGCTTCAGTGTTCCTGCCTGCTTCTAACTTTTCTTTACGTGTTTGTATGGGGAGCTGGATCCCACCTGACACTCCAGCCTACCCTACCTGGCAGAACTGTTGTTGTCCCAGCGTTCTGGTCCGCCTACCACCATGCTTGTTTTGTAGAATCTGTCTTAAACTGTTTGACTTCGCTCTAATCTCAAAATATAATTTCACTTTATAGGTTTTATATTTCTAATAGCATGTCAATCAAGTCTTTTTCCTATGCTCTATACCAGGTCTCTTAAAATACGAAAATTACCCTTGCAAAGTATTTGGAATTCGCAGTATGTTCAAGAAAGGACAAATATGGATAGAGAATGAGAAATTTAAAAAACTATGGCTCCTTATTTCACATATATTGGTTTGCAGACATATTAAATTTTATAAAGGATTTTTCTACTTTTAAATTCAATGGGATTTTCAAAATCATAGTATGGGAAGGATATAATTTATTAAGTGGCACCAAAATGGGCTGGATAAATACATTGGCCTCATTTGAACAAGTTTTAGGATGATTGCTTTTCTCTTGCTTCATATAGACTCCTACTCATAAATTGCTTTCAGGCCATAGGGTTTCTTAGCAACACACTAAAAAAATGAACAGTAGCAGTGGAATCGAATTAATGAAATGGTGAGTGTTGCAGCCAATCACTTTCTCTTCTCTGTGCCCTAAACCCTAAAGGTTATCTCCTGCTCCTTATAAGGTTGGCCTTCCCTTCTCAAAATAGAAAATTAGGATTTTTCTTTCTTCAAAATTCATTTTACTTTTTTTTTTTTTTTTTTTTTTTTTGGTACTGGGGATTGAACTCAGGACCTTGATGCTTGCAAGGCAGACAGCACCACCATTGGGCTAAATCCCCGGCCCTTGAAATTTCATTTTATCTGTGGCATTATAGAGGAATATATGATGCTAGTAATTCTAAATTATTGGTAGGATCTAAAATATTTGAAAATTTAAAAACTTGCTTTTCTTATTTATTGGAATAGGCAGTAGATTGTTATAGTTCAAATCCAAAAGTTACAAAGGGTTTAGTGTTTCCTTCTAGTTCCTGTCTTCAGTCTCATAATTCCCCACTCCAATGGCTATGAATGTTAAGTTTCTCAAAACATTTGTTATATTAATATTTTTGTTTTGTTTTTAGGAGTGGCATTTATAGATTAATTCATTTTTGTTGCTTTTATATTTAAAAAGAAATCTCAATTTCATTCCCTTTTTCATCTTTCTCCCATATTCTCCATTATCCAATTTATTGTACAGCAGAAATTAGAAAGTCATTTACAGGTTTTACTGACCTGATGCATGCTTTTCTAAGTTATGAAATGGTGAAAACACACACCTCTCATGTTACAGTAAAGATTTAATGAGGTAATACTCATCAAAATTTTGTCCTTTGCTACAAGATACTAGGCTATCAATGCTTAGTTCTCGGTTTTGTTTTGTTTTTTGGTACCGGGGATCAAACTCAGGACCTTGTGCTTGTCAGGCAGACGTGGTGCCACTGAGCTAAATCCCCAGCCCAGTTCTCTATTTTTCTAAATATTAAAGGAGGAAAGTATAAGAAAACGATGTTTCTAAAATACGGGAGTTTGGTATGTATGAATATTTTCTTCATAGGTTAATGGAAATTTTTAAAAAGCAGCTTTCTTTGCCTCTTTACACATATTTTAGGAGGCAGTTCAATAAGCTAAAAAGTCTTTAGACTAAAATTAGGAAGACTTGAGTTCTTATTTTAGATTTAAACCTCTGAGATGTGTATGTCACTGTGGGCAACTCTTCTATATACATAATGTAAGAAATAGATTACATTATTTTTAAGGCTTCTTATTACTTTAAAATTGGATGATTCTATCTCCTTAATCCTCATTGCTACATGAAGGCTTTCAGAGGGTTAGATTTGGTAGATAGTTCATGGTGTTGTCTAGACTGTCCAGTGAGTCCGCAAACATGCTTATATTAAGTACATACACACACAGGTCTACTTCAGTTCTGTTCTAGGTTTTTCACTCTGTTTCTCTTAACTGAAAAATTACTGGAAAGAGTTATCTATACCTGTTACCTCTACTTATTTATCACACATTTACATCCATAATCTATTATAACCTGTAATAGCCTGAAATTGCCTTAGAAGATACTAAATGCATTATTATTATTTTTTTTGGTCTTTCATACACTTTTATGTGATATTATTGTCCTAAAAATGTTTTCCTGGCTCTCAGGAGATTTGATTCTTTTGATTCATCTACTGTCTTGCAAGTCTCTAGATTGGTACTTCCCAATAGGACTTCTTGTGGTGATGGAAGTATTCTATGCATACAGTGTCTAGTCCCTAGTATGCTGTAGTCACTGTTACCACCTTTACAACTGCATTTGCCTCTATTGAGATCTTCATGTTTGTGCTTTTTGTCTCATTTATATTGAAGCTCTGTTTTTCTCTGAGCCTTCATGCTGTTAATTTTCCCCCGAGTCTTGATGGCTTCTTTCTTATTCAGCTTTCCTCAAAGCATCAGTTGAGTGGGTGGTACTGCTTTGCTCCTCAGGGGGAATGTCATGTCATGATTCAATCAAATGACTTCTTTTTGCTGTCAGAAGAAGCCTCTGCATTTACTTTCAGGGAATGATGTATAGTAACTCTAGTTCTTTTTTTCCACTGTGACTGATAGCTCATAAATATATTTTGTGATCCCATTTGCTACTTTTCTGCCCACTCACACAGATTTATAAGCTGTTTCCGTTCTTATCAACTTGCCACCCACAAGATTTGTGTCATTTCAAATGTACAAATGTCACCTTGCATTTTAATTTATAAAGATATTACATACATAAAGATATGCTCATTGTGCTCTGGATAAGAATTCTGGGACAAGTGGGGATTAAGAGCCAACCTGCATTTTGCTCACTACAGTTTAATTAGGTTTGCCTGGGAAAAAAGTTCTTTTCTTTTTTGTGTAAAGATGGTATTGCATCAGTAAGTGATGAGCCTAGAGTAGAGCATCCATCCAAAAAGGACACCATTTTCTATCTCATAATAGACTGGTCATCCTGGTTATGTAGTCTTGATCTTTCCATTAGTGTAGATTTGAATGTGAGAAACTTTAGGATTTGCTTTCCTGTCTTTGCCTTTTACTGTTTTCTTTCTTATAAGTTGAAAATAGCTCTACTTCAACAAAGAGATAGAGACCCATTTTTGTTAAATTATGAAAACAAAGCTGTAAAAAGAAGTTTCTGACCATATGTTTTGATTGTCTTTTTCTCCTTCACAAGCCACCCGAAAATTTGGTAGTTAAAACAGTTACACACACACACACATAGTATATTCATATATATATGTATATGTATATTTATATATGTGATAGATATAGATGACAGATCTGTATCTATATCTATGATATTTTGTTGCCTAAGAGGGTTTTGTAGCTGCTGCTGTTTGGCAGGGCTCGATAGATTCTTCTCTACTGGTATCAACAGGGATTACTCAGTATCCAGGATGTGAATGGATTTGTATAGAGTTCAGAATCTGTTAATCACTATTAATGGAAAGAGTATCCTGAGTACACCTGAACTAATTGAGTGAGTCCTTAAAAGAGGTTAAAACAAATTTTCTTACTGGTTGTAAAGTAGCAAATGATACATGGAAAGGGTCTCTAGGAACTGAGAATGGTCCCTCCCATCAGTCAGCAAGAAAAATATTCTACAATCACAAGAAATTGAATTCTTCCAACCAGTGAGTTTGGAAATACCATGGGCTGAAATACCTTGACTTCTGTCTGACAGAGGACCTGTGTTTAGAGTCCTAAATTATAACAACTATAAGATAATTTGTATTGTTTTAAGCTACTAAGTTTGTGATTATTTGATACATAGTGGTAGGAAACTAAGATTCCTAAATACCAAAAATAACGGAGAATCTTACATCTTACCGTAAGGTTATAATACCTTGATACGCAGCAGTAGGAAAGTAGTAAAGCTAAACAACAAAAATTAAAGGAAAATCCTATAATATACCACAAATAAAAGTGCAAATAGATTAAAGGCCTAAATATACAAATCAAAAATTTCAAATTTAGAAGAAAATGTAAGAAAATAAGTTTGTGATAGGATAAAACAAAACATAAAAATATAGATTTCACTCCATTAAAACTAACCTACATAGTGAACACTAAACAGTTGAGAAACAAGCCATATAGTACACTGGAAAAAGGTATTTGTGAGGAATAAAACTATGAGATGGTTCCTATAAATATATATATATTATATTTAATATATATTCATATATAAATATAAAAATATATGTATATATAATTTTTTTTTTTTGTAGTGGGGATTAAACTCGGGAACTTGTGCTTGCAAGGCAGGCGTGGTACCACTGAGCTAAATCCCCAGCCTGGTTACTATGCAATATTATAAAGAGCTATAGATCAGTTGAAAAATGACAACTAGAGAAAAGTCAGCAAAGGATATAACTTTTCCATTGAAGAAATGCAAATGGCTGATAAACGTGTTCAATATCCTTAACCTCACCAATAAGTAGAAAAATGCAAATTAAAACCACAATGTAATTTCAGTTTGTAATTAAAATATTGGCAACTTTTAAAAAGTCTGTCAGTTCTAGAGAGGCATAGATGTTAAATAAAATTGTACATTGAACTACTTTAGAGAATAGTGTGAATATTTTGTGTGTGTATGTGTATACTTGTGTATTTGGGCTCTTTAGCTCAACTGTCAGTGGGTGATAATATTGAAAATACAAATATTCCAATTCATAAGTTTCACCCCTAGATGTAAATGCTAAAAGAGAACACTGCACAATATTTCAGACACTGTTACTTGTAATAGAAGGAAAAAAAAAGGTTACAAATAGAAGGAGTGAATTCATAAGAATACCACCCTATAGCTACCATTCACAGTAAGAGAACTTTGGTATTGCCCCAGAAATTTCTTCCACACATGCAGCCTACCTCAAAATCTCTTGAGAGCAACCATTGTCATGGCTTTGCAGACATCGTTTACTTTCATTTTAAAAATTGGGTTATTTCTCAATTTTGCCACCCTAGACACTGCAGGTTAGTCTTAAACATTTAGAAAATGACATGTTTTCTAGGTTTTGTTTACTCTGTGCTGCTTGGTGGATCGAGAGTCTGGACCAGATTAAAACTGGATTCCTTTGCAAGATTGTAAAAGGTGAATAATATCTGGTTGTCTCTGTTAACCAGCCCACTAATGCAATGGAGGTGAGTCAGCAGCCATTGATACTTAATGTCCATTAATTCAGTGGAGGCTTCAAAATAGTGATATTCTAATTCTATCACCTTATTTTCATTTATTGAGGTACTTTTACAAAAGAGAACTGGAATTTCAACTATTCTATCTTCAGTTTCTGAGTCATTTTGAAAAGATCTTAGTAGTCTTTATTAGTTTCCTTATTCTCTATTATGTCAAGAGATTCCAAAATCATTCCTGGTCCATAACAGACCAAATCTTAATTCCTTTCTTCAAGAAGCCATGTTTTGTTTTTCTATTTTTGTTTTGTTTTGTTTTTTTCTGTTGTTACTGTTATTAGTGAGACATAGCATTTTATTTATTTTTTTATTTTTTGGCTTGAGACAGGGTCTCACTGTGTAGTTGAGACTGAC